TGTTAACAAACAAACCTCAGAACACACCTTCTTTCAGATACAGGATGCACTGGTTTGTGGGTAAGAAAATATCTGTGTGCGGTGACGTTACTTTAACTCACTCACTGCCAGCCGTTTCCTGATCACTAACGGCCTTCGCTGCCAGTGTTTCTCACAGTTTTTACTGTTTTTTTAAGAGTCACAGAACGTTGCACGCTAGCATGATGTCGATGCCAAAACAACCAAAACAAAGAGGAGACTCACCTCTTACATCAGGAAGAATCCGCGTGTTTCGAGGATTATCCGTTCTTTCATAATCCGTTGTCGAATTGTGATCGGCAGACGCTTTTCCGGTTCGCGCCTCACTTTTTTTACAGGAACGGCCCAAAATGATCTCTTAACACATGAATGTTCTGCTTCCTGATCATGTGATCTGTGACGTATGCGGATGAAGATCGGCTTCAGGGCTGAGATGTTTGTTCTCTCAGCGCGGGGGCTCGTTCCGATGCTCAAACAGAAAAAAATGCAAATGACGACTTTAATCGTCATTGGCAGTGAATGAGTTAACTTATGTCTTATGAACATTGTATATGAGTGTAGATAATGATTCACTTGTTAAATCCAAACATTACTGATCATAACATCATAATATTCATTTCAACCACAGTAATTTAAGTACAGATTAATCAAAACATTTCATTAGTATTCATTTAACATTTGTTCATTCAACCATATTATTATTTAATGATTAGTTAACTCATGAGATCCCTTTTCATGAGAGTGAGCAATCCTGCGGTGTTAGCAAAAGAAGGCTTTGTTTGGGAACACAGGCTCATGTCTTGTTCCTCCTGAAATGTCAACAGGGTTTGCAGAACCTTGTGGCTTGTTGGAAGGTAGAATGTTAAATCCACCAGGGTGGCTATGTATGGCTATAGATGACCGGTGGCATGTAGGTCAATCTGTAGGTGAAAACTGACCATTCCTGGACGTTACACCTAGGAGCGCCCCAGCCGCCGCCACCGACCACCGGTCCCGAGGCAGAGGGCTCCACAGAGGAAACACTGTGTTTCTGTTCAAGTAGCGCCATTTAAAATTTTTGTTTAATTTTTCCACTTTCCCGAAACAAAAAATACACTATTTCGTATTTTCCAGTCCTGATCAGGTGTAAATTTCGTTTACCTGGGAGCTGCAGGTGCAGCGAGGGATTAACGGCTCCTCTCTTGATTTCCTTCTGCTTGGTGGTGATGCACTGATTTGTTCTCAGTGGGATTTCTCACCGCCCTTTACAGACTGGATGTAGCTGCGCACACGGTGCACATTCAGTTCAAATACTCATAAATCATTTCAGGCTCTGGAAATGAGTCGCACCATCCTCATTAAAACTTATTTAAACTTGACTGCCTTGAAGCTTTTGGGTTGACGAAGACCGAAGCACGAGAGCGTTATTGTTGCTCCTGTTCTCCTGTCGTCGTGTGCTTTATGCTCATTAGGTCATTGCTGCTGGCTGAATACCTCCCTACTGCAAACAATAAGTCCTGCAGCTGTAAAAGTGATGCACACACACTCAGCGGCGCCTCGTGTTGTTGCACAGCAGTAGTACTCCTGCAGGATTAAAGCACACTGACAGGAGGAAAGAGGCTTTTGCTGCAGATCAGAGGAAAAGTTTAATCAACAGTAATGATGTCTGAGTCCCAAAATGGAGGAAAACGACTGAATGTTGGGATTCTGCTGGGACCTTTCCTGCAGGGAATGTGACTAATGGCTATTGATCGTGGTTAATGCTGACTGCTTTAAAGAGAGGAGGTAAACAGGTCTACTCATCACGTTATTCACTGAATCACAAAGCTGACATGCAGCACAGTAAGTAGGATCAGGCAAACAATCTGCTGACATGAAGCCGGTGGTGAAGCGTGTGTGCCGCTCTCAGAATCGAGTCATTCATGGCTACACTCTGCGCTGCTCAGGATGGACCAAAGATCAGCAGTTTCTCTTGTTGTGAAAAACTAATGACACGAGCCTTCAAAGTCAAATCTGCCTCAAGCGTAAAGAAACATGCATAAATATCACAGATTAGTTCCTGGGTGGCTTTTGTTTTACAGGACTGATGCGCTAACGGCTAGTCTGATTACAGTGTATTTCTGCTATCTTAAGTATTCTATTAAACTTCCATTCTGCATTATTAAGCTCATTGCAGGAGAATGTAACCTCTATTTCTCCAAAACGTGAGTTGTTCAAGCTAAGATGGTTAATTATTTATAACTTTGATGCAGAAACAAACTTGAAAAATGGTGGAATATTTCTTTTAAACTAAAAGTTACATAAAAAATTTTCTTTCAGCCCAGAATCAGTGCCTTTTTATGCTCACCTGTATTGATTCATGTTGCAATGCACAGTGGCGGTTCTACATCGAATTACTCCCCGGGCGAGGCCCCCTTTGAGCGCCCCCCCCCCAACCCCACCCCCCCCCCCACCACCACCACCACCACCACCACCACACCACCCCACCTGCATGAACACACGCATGTTTTCTACAAACAGGCATGTTTTATTAGAACGACTATTGAACATTCATTTTTCTAAGTTGCACATATTTACATTAATTACTATGAAGTTGTCAGAATGTAAAGCACTATACATTATATACTGTATCAAAATATATAGAATCAAATATACAAAAACAAACAATAACTAAATATTAAGAATATATGAACATAATAGATAATAAATATTCTAAATAGCAAAAATATTTCACACATAACAAACTAAAGATAATCACTACAGCATTGCACTTAGAACAGAAAACACAAACTAAAATTAAAACCTAACCTTGATGCAACATCATCAATAATGTCATCACATGAAATCTGCTCCCCCTACTGAGTGATTGATACTAATCAGAGCCAGGTTAGTGAGCCGCCCCTGAAACATAGTTGACCTCAGGTATGACTTGATCACGTTTTGAAAAGCTCCTCTCAGCTTGAGCCACAGTGACTGGCAGAGCAGTCCAAAAGTTGGGGTAGATCTCCAATAGATCTCATGATCCATAATATTTTAGAATTGCCTCTGAAATTGTAATTTAAACTGACATAAAAAACTGTAGACTACCAAAAATGCCAACATTTACAGAACAAATCATGTAAAAATAATCAGTGCAGCCATCTGCAATAAATAAACAGGATAGTTAGTGGTGACTGGGGTGTTTTCTTCTGCTTGTAGAGTTGTTTTATTTATTATTATGTGAACATGATCAACATGTTTGTTGTTGTTCAGGCAGGCCACAGGCTGCAGCGAGCATTTAACAAATCCTAGTTTGAATCAGTAAAAAACGATTCAAGGACTTTTTTCAAACCATTTGAATATTCGTTTAAATATTTCAGCATTAGCTCTGTTAGCAATTAGTTGACCGCATTTAACCGTTAAAATCCCAGTTAACTGGTTCAAAAAATTGAAAACATGCATCATGAGAGCTACATACCTTTATCTTTCTCCTCTTTTTTCTTTTTTTCCCCCTGAATCGGGCACCTGGTGGTTTTAGCCTTTTTATGTTCATCTCTTCTGTTTGGCTCCTGACTCAGTAAGTTTCCTTTAGTCAGGACTAAACAATTTGACCTTGATGGGGGGGTGACCACAAAATCGTTTTGTTTTTCCTTTTTTTATTCGGCCATTTCACACAATTCAGAGAAACCTGAAAGAATGATAGGCCTGTGTTTATGATATTATGAATGAAATATGGAAGAACGTTAAGATGTGATTGACTTTAGCCATGTTAATACAGTTGATTCAGCCCCTGCACGCTCATTTCATCTGGGAAAGACGCAGAGGTGAATTCCCCCGCCGCACCCCTCCCCTTCCTGTTCTTCATAGACACACGGTGCACGTGAACGTTCTCAGTCAGCAGGAGCGCCTGCAACTGCAGGGGGCGCCAACTTGCTGTTTCCAATCCAGACACTGTCATATGACAGATAATAGAAAACCTCGGTGCGGCGCAGATTTCCTTTTTTTTTTTTACTCCGCGCTTGTGCGCCCCTTTTGTGTCATGAAAAAATGCCGCCCCGGGCAACTGCCCTGTCTGCCCGTGCCTAAAACCGCTACTGGCAATGCATCTGTTCATCGAGGCGTTGCGTAAAGTTATTTTGCAAAACGTGCACTCACCCAACTGTAAAAGGTACATGTTCTGATTTGTTGTTTTTTAAATACGATCGGTCACTCTGAGTTTCACATGCAGGCTAAATGTGAGAATAGTCTTCTACCCCTATTTCCTGCATTACCTTCTGATAGAGAATACACAAAAAAAATGCTCAGATTAAAATTGTACGTCATAATGTCAAATTAACATTCACGAATTCGCCCATCTTGACTCGTAACGGGGAAGGCTGTTGTTGGTTTAGCATCCAGGAAACTTCAGAGCACGTCTCGTCTAGTAGAAGCTAACTGTTAGCATTAGCAACTCCATAACACAGCAGAACTCCTTCAGGTTTGTGTTACTTGTGGAGATAAAACATCTACGTTGCAGAGCAAACCGAGACAGTGGTAGAGTTGTGTTGCTGTTATCCAATCAGAGGCGAGGTGTCAGAATATCAGGAATTAAGACTTCTGCTCACCTCTGCTTTGGCTGACTTCTACTTGCTCAAACAGGAACGCCAGAACGTTTCTTTCTCAGAGCTTGACCGACAAGACATTAATTTATAGTAGAGACCACAGCAAATGTGTTATAAAGATGACTGAACTTGGTCTTTAACATCACATAGGCAGACAAATGCTGGCAATGCTGCATTTAAACGTTGAGCTGCAGGATGCTGCAGGGTTGTTATGAAGTTAGTGGTGAAGTGCGGATCCTGTTTCCCCCTGCCATTGTTAAGGCAGAGCCGGGTGGGGGTGTGATGGTGTTGTTGGGCTAGCTCGGTGGCAGGGTGGTGTTTCATCACCCGGTTAGCGTCCAGCTCTGCTCTCGCTGCTCTTCACACTCCAGCTTCTCCTCGTTTCCGTCCTTCACCAGCAAACTGTCTGTGTTCGTTATGCAGAAGCTGTTTGTCTTCACGGGATCCTTACTGCGTTTGGCTCAAGTCAGGCAGCTGTGTCACCGTCTCACCTGGATTCAAGTAAGTCACACACACACACACACACACACACACACACACACACACACACACACACACACACACACACACACACTGAAACAGAATCTTTGTGAGTTTAGCCGTGTCACAGCAGTGTTACCTTACTCATCACAGCCTGTCAAAGTAATGTATCCTAATCTGGTGCACAGCAGGTGTTTTAAGTTGTTGGTTTCATAAAATTAACTTTTAAATCTTTAAATATTACATTTATCTTGTCTGCAGCAGGTTTTATGCAGAAGAAATTGCTTCATAATTGACATTTTTTACATTTGTGCATGCATTCATGGCAGTTAGGTTCAGCTTCTCTAGTTCCTTTTTCTTTTAAAATAAATGTCTGAAATGTTACACTAAGAGCAAGAGAATAAAAAAATGTTTATATTTGATTTAAAATGTGTTTGCTTAATAAAAGATTAGTGTTGGTCTCTATGAGGCAACTATAATGGTTTACATGTGAGGGTTTTTAAATCCAGCCTGATCTAAGTCCATCTTTTAATGTTTTATCAGAATGCTGCAATTAAAGCATTTATTCTGAAATCCATCTAAAGTGGGAAATACTAGTCTAATACGTACATATTATTACACCCAGTTTGTCTTTTCTTTTAAGTTTGTTTTTATTGCCTCCCAAACTTTTTGAGAATTAATGGGAAAAACCCGTTTTCATGTGGAACACATGAAAGTTTCAGTCCCTTCGTGATGCAGATGTCATTTTCTGCTAAACTTGATTTATTGTGTTTATTAACGAACCGCCGGGGATCAAAGTGCTTCTAATCAAACACTTCAGCGGGATGTTTCATGTTCTAATTCTTTCTGGACTCTGTGTTAATAAGATCTGTCTAACTGCTGGGTCAGTCTGAAGGCAAATGAGTGTGTAGAGCCACATAAAGACATTATTAGTTTTGCAACTATCAAAGGACAGATTTGCGGTTTAGTCAATAATGTGCAGCCAAGCAAGAGGAGAAGCAATAATTCCCACATTTCCTCAGATGATCTGATCAGAGGACGTCTCAAGCTCTCAATAGTCAATAACTAATCTGGAATTAAAGTGGGCAACATCAGCATGATTAATCTGAGATCACCACTTTCCTCGCACACATTTTGCTGGTTCTCTGTTTAAATCTTTTTTTTTACTCACGAGGAGCAGCTGCCATGTAATGTGGCTCTGCTGTGTGGACAGATGTCTTTTTTATAAAGGCGCACATGTAAACAAGCTTCAGAGGTGGTGGACAGATAGAACAGCTGAAGGACAAGAGGAGAGCGTGGACGTGGAGCAGTAGAATGACCAGTCGGGCTCTTTGCTGAAAGCTCGGAGTGCTTTTTGGTTCTGTAAACATCAGTACGTGTCTGTGAGTCCAAAAAGATTCTGTAGAGGGGGGAGAAACTGCCAGGGACTGTTATTTTTGGTTTGTTTTCAGAAGGGAATTTTGTAGGATGGAGCACCAATAAAATCCTGAAGGTCGAAGCGCATGTTTTTACAAAATACAAAGCACTCACCACCCACTATTGTTGTCTAGCTCGGGGGGGGAGATCCTGGACAAGCCCCCACTTGTGTTACAACCCCTCAGGTGAAAGGGAGTTAGGGGTGCAACACGACAACCACAGGGACGTGACCAAGTCTACATGTCTAAAGACGAGCTTTAGTTCAGTGATAACACCGATAAAACTGATGAGAGAAGGAAGAGAGGGACGGTTAGGTGGTGCCCAATCAAAGAAATTGGACAGGCTTGTGTTATTTGTGGAGATAAAACATCAAAGTTGCAGAACAAACAGAATCAATGGTAGAGTCATGTTGCTGTTAGCCAGTCAAAGGCGAGATGTTCACATATAATGAATTATGAAGAGTAAAGCTTCAGTCCCTGCTGTTTTCTGCCCCCTTCTCTGGCTAAGTTCTAGTTCATGAAACAGCAGCATCAGAGATCATTTATACCAGAGACCACTGATGGAAAAAAAAAACAAGTAAATGAGAGCTTTCAATTTCCATACCAGCAAACAAAAGGATTGTGATGATTTTTCAGCATTTAAGTGAAATAATAAAACCTTCAGTTATCAGGCCCGGCTTCAGCACTTCTGTGTGTTCACTCTGCAATCATCACATCATCTACCCTCTCCTTGTCTACCTTTTTCTGCCAGTTTTCTCTCTTAAAACCTGCTACATGTGCTTCTAGCATGGACTCCCATACCACACAGTTTCTGAGAGGATGGTTGCTGGGTGGTTGGACAGACAGGTGGATGCTGGTAGAGGAAAGGGACAGTTAAAGGTGCCGTTTCCTTGTCCTGGTCATCAAGGACCCTGAGTTGTGTGGTTGATGTACAACCTACTACTAAATCACTTCACTGTTTTTTTTTACCTACATAAAGTTGTAAACTGATGCATGGGGCTTTGGACCGACAGCGTGCCGCACCGTCACACACACAGCTGGACAGGAAAAGCACCACATCCATCGTCAACTTGCTCCAGATAGATTATTCTGAAGGCTGAAAATGTGCAGACCTGGAATTACTGCAGATCTTCTGCTTGGCCACCCAGCGATATTACTTTCCCTGCCCTGGCATGAACGCAGGCTAATGGAATTTTTTATTTTCAACTGCATGTTTCTACTCTCTGATATTCATGGATTCAGAATAAGCAACGCCACCGGCTCTTGTTCTAAAACCTATGTGTTGTTGTGGTTTTGTTGTTCTGCCTTCTGTGAGAAAAATTTAATTTCTTGGCGTGATTGGCTGAAGATAACGAGGCTTGTTGTTTCCTGAATCTTACATAACACGCAGTCTGTGCTCTGGGCTCTGGACGGTAAAAACATGTTCGAAACAGCTGATCAGTGTGAAGAGCTCTTTATTTGGATGCACGGTAAACAAATATGGATCAACCCATCAAAAGCTGCTCTTGTAGTGGGAAAAATCTCTTAGTTTTACACAAACACAAGTCAAAGATGTGTTTTTATAATGAGGGGTTGAAAGTAGTCTGAAAATGTTGTTTTTACTTCTGCTGTTGACTTTCAGGAGTAGAAAGTGGGTTTTAGGGGAATGGTTGACGTTAAAAGTTGGGTTTCTGGTTCAAGTGAAGACTTGGTAGCTGTCATGGGGGGAGGGGGGGGGGGCTCACCAGTGTGGTGAGATGTGCTTGTGAGGGGGAGTGGACGTGCCAATGCGGCTTCACGCTGGCGAGGCACACACAGCTACTTGCTGAGGTTTGATTTATGAGCTATAGCGTGCAGGACAAAGCCACACATAAAACCAGTGGACCAGAACCTGAGCGAGATCAGCCAAAAGGGGGGAAAAATCTTGTCCAAACTCAACTACGGGATCAGATTCCTTCCAGGAAGCATGAGAGAGAGAAGTGTGAACAGAAACAGCAGGATGGGAAAAGGCAGGGAAAACCTAAAGAGGAGAGGAATAATAGGTTAAAGGGTTGAAAGGGTTTAGTTTTTTGCATAACATCTGTTTTTTATTAAGATTTTCAATTTAAATTGATAAAAAGTCAGCTGGCGGCTGCTGAGAGGGTGGCGCTGGAATAAAATCAGATTTTAGACTTTTTCAGACCAAAGAATGTCCTTTAAACTGCATATATCACTAAAATGAAATGAGCGATGGTGGTTTAAGGAAAGGAAAAGGAAAGATGGTCATAAAGAATGATAAACAAGTGCAACAGAACAGGACAAAAATGAAGTTCTGTGAATCAGGCCACAGCAGAAAGAATCAGCCCTCCGTCAGCATCGTCTCCCTCCTGGTACTCGCTTTCGTTCCAGACCATCGGTCTTTTCTCTCTGCACACATTTTAATGACTGATTCGTCCCGCTTCCAAATGAATCAGAGAACAAACAAAGATTTCTGCATTTTTGTTTTCTCTCCATCGCTGAAAGATGGAGGTGCTGTTTCTGGGTGTTTAGTCTCTTCCATAAAGCATTTGACAAAGTTGGTGTCAAAGCATAAAACGGAGGGCAGCCGAGGCAAATGGATGGAAATGGAGCCTAGGATCTTTCCTGCTGTGGCTGTGTGGTGGAGGTGGAAAAAATCTTTAAGGAGCGCATGTCACCGGGCCCCTTTCTCCTCAGGTTTGCTTGTAGTTTTGGTCAGATGTTGAAAAGAACATTGCACAGTTAGCAATGAAAGTGGGCATCACAGCCGCTACTACTGCTCTACCAAATGTTTGGTCAATATTTGTATAATTTAGTGTTCTAACAGTTTTTTGGTTGGTTGATTATCCGTGGCAGCCTAACCGAACAGGACTCAGTGGTGTCGCATGCGCATCAAAGTCGATCTATGACAGTAATCGAGCTAATACCTTAAAGTGTGTATTCTCCCTGGTAACAGGGGTCAGTGCATATCTAAATCATTGCAAGGAATCAGAATCAACTTTATTATTGATGCCCCGGCGTCATGAAGCATAGGAGTTTGTCCCGGCATCAGACCGTTCACAAAAGAGAGAGCCGCAGCCTCAGTGCATGTGATCGATCACTGTTGTTCAAAGTGGTGAGGGGTACGAAGAGCACATTGACTCTTTCAGTTGGTGACCTTGCCAAGCCCTGGCCACCAATCCAAAGGCATGAGGAAGGGCCGGTTTTTACCGTCTGTCTGCATTCCTTCATGGAGGCTTTTTTTTTTCTCGCAGCTCAAGGCTACCAGTTGAGTCAACGGCAGCTAATAGTACCTGCTGGGGAGCTCTGAGCACCACAACACCGAATCCTGGCTCAGTATTTGTAAAACTAAATATGTCATAGCCATTTTTGTGTTTTTAAGGTCAGTTTGTTGGGGCAGCTGTCTTGAATTGTATTGATTAGTGAAGTAAATTGGCTGTAGACAAATCTAATAATTATATTTTTAGATTTTTATCCAAATCTGTTCATCTTGTTTATTAGCTCTCCTGCTATGTATAGTGGCTGGGCTGTGGGATGACGTGACTCAGAGCTACTAACACAAGTTCTAGTTCAATATCTGTAAAAGTGACTGAGCTATAGAAAGGTTTGTGTTTGGGTGAATTGGCCGTG